TGGCAAGACGCTAGACCTCTTGTGGTGAGTTCCCTCTGTGTGGCAAGACGCTAGACCTCTTGTGGTGAGTTCCCTCTGTGTGGCAAGACCCTAGACCTCTTGTGGTGAGTTCCCTCTGTGTGGCAAGACGCTAGACCTCTTGTGGTGAGTTCCCTCTGTGTGGCAAGACGCTAGACCTCTTGTGGTGAGTTCCCTCTGTGTGGCAAGACCCTCGACCTCTTGTGGTGAGTGCCCTCTGTGTGGCAAGACCCTCGACCTCTTGTGGTGAGTGGCAGGAAAATATTGAGTGAATGAGTTTATAAATTAGCTGTGAAGGAATAAAACGGTGACAAAAGTATCTTGGAGAAATTCAAATGTCTAATGGTCTTTGGCGTTGAGAAGTGGGGTAATAATTCAAAGCGAAAAGTGGAATATTTTGTTTCTTGTGGGAATGAGCCAAGTTGTTGATGTAATGTGAAGAGAAGAAAGATGTTATCGTCATGAATTGGAAGCATCCTCGCCTTTGCAAACATCTTGTAACAGCCCGGGAATTGCAAAATGTAAGTCAAAATGAAGTTCAGCTTGAGAAAAATCTACACGCGTATACAAATTCTTCAACCATTCGAATGTTTTTTTAAATGAATGGTCACGCTTGCATTAGCATATAATATGCTGGTAAAATTTACCGCGTCGATTAATACGCGGGGGAGTTTAACACGATGAGTTATATGTTGGAAAGTTGAGCTTAATACTCGGGCGATTTCTAGCAGGTCGAGTTTAATACTCTGGGGAATTTTATATTGTACGTCAATTTAATTTAGGGTACGAATACTAAACTACAAGAAACTTACCAAACTCCTGGTTCACCAAACGACCAAATCTGTCGCTATGATTACGAACACGATTGCGATAGGAAGTTCATACGCCCTTTTGATGTACATGTAGATATCATTCTCAAAACAAAACTGGAGCACAGTGGACAGTGGAGTTATGAATTAATAGCTATGAATATGGCAGGGTGGCCCAGAGGTTACAGTTCAGGGCCTATACTTTCAAAAAAAGTTAAGAGTTCGTAAGTTCATCAGCCAATCATTGACGGCCTTTTAAGCAAAATCCACCAATTATAGACAAGAAAATAGAGCGTAAGTACTTACGTTCACTTAGCGAGTTTTGAAAGTATGGCCCCAGAGTACCAAGATAGGAGCGGAGAGGCGCGGGTTCGAAACCAGCTCTGTGCGCCAGTTTCTGGTCAGAATCGGCAATGAGGCCGGGCGGTTAAGCACAGCAGAATTGGAGCAGTGAGTTGTGAGTTCGAGACCGCAACAAGCTATGAATGTTCTGCGATGTTAAGAATCGGCGACAGGCTTACGGCCCAATAAACGCTGAAACCGCTATCAATAAAAGATTAATGAAAATCCATTTCTTCAGGTTGTCGGGTGGTGGGCGTCGAAGGAGTCGAAAAAATCGTGCAAGAGTTTGGGGAGGAGCACAAGCTTGACTTCCGTCTCACCAAGACCGCTCATGGCAAGACTTACCAGGTAACCTCGTTTTGCTACATTCAATCTATTACTAAATGGATCACAACACTCGACAAGGTAACATTATAAATTATTGTCATGAGTACCTGTTACATAAAGTTGCGCTCTGATGGCTAAATTTGTCGAAGTAGGTTTAAATTTCTCTAATGACTAACTTGTCATAAGAAAACATGTCAATGCTCGTTAAGTTGGCGAATTTTCAGTCTATCTCTATCACTGATCATTCTAATCGTGAAATTCGATAGTTCGTATTTACGATGTCAGACGGGCGGCTCGAGACAGTGATGAACGACCACTTCAGTTTGTTCTCTGTTGTTTCGTGACCATATCATCGCTCAAAAATTGTAGACCTCAGATGAGTCACACAGAGAGCGGAGAACTCCATGAGTTGATTGATTAGGTTGTTCTCTAATTTCGTTTTTTACATGTCCACGTTTCAGACCAAGATATATAGCTCCAGCTGCCAGTGGAGGACATTTTCCATCTGCTAATCATTTTTTCCTCCTGTTTATTTCAATATCTTCATTTCAGACGCCAGACGGACGGCTGCAGATTGTGGTGGAGGACCTCTTCAGTTTGTCACCCGCAAAAATTGGACTCTTCGACGTTGTGTGGGACCGCGCTTCCATCATCGCCATCAACGTCTGCGACAGAGAGAAGTGAGAAATTGTACCATAATAAAGTGTGATCATGCGTATGTCATGCTTCAACTTGCAACCATCTCATAACATTGTAAGTAAATCCTGCCATTTAATATTAATATTGTAGCATATACATATTTTGGTCCCGAACAGAGTGAGATGTGTAGAACGTTCAACAGCGAAAATTTGATTGCTCAGGTACGCGGCAGTGATGATGAGTCTGCTGGAGCCTGAATTTCGGTATCTCCTGGTCAGCCTGGACTACGCTCCTTTTCCAAATTTCAACGGCCCACCAAGCTCCATTCCTCTTTCTGAACTGACCGTGCTGTATGGTGAGCAACTTTTAATTATTATAATATATAAAATTAATTTCTACCAAATAAATTGAAAAAGAAAGCTCATGGTGAAGAGAATTATCCTTGTTGCACGTCTTTGAACATTCTCTATTAAATTTCTGTCCTTTTCGAATCTCGGTGACCACACAACGTTTCCAAACTCTAGACTCGGGCGTACGACGGCAACAAACAACTGCTTCATCGTTTTCGTTCGTTAATTAGATTAAATGAATTTTGTCAAAAAGAAATATATTCAGCAAATTTAATTCAATTAAAAATATAATCAATTACTATGCTCCCTTGCAGAACAATATGTCTGGACTCACCTTCATACTAATAACGAATAGACTATTAACCCCCACAGGGTCAGATTTAATAGGTTTCAAGCAAACATCTCACAGTACCACACAATCAAAATAATGGCTCTATATTATACTGCTTGATCTAGTAGACAACATGTACAGGCAATCATGCACCTTATCTACTAGACAAATGGTTATACTCTCACCTATCTTCGATGGGCGGTAGGTATCCTGCAGTCACTAGGGACACCTGCAAATATTAGGTGGTCATTAGTCAAAAATAATTGTCTACTTAGATACTTAAATTCCATCAATTGGTGCCTAAAACGCGATAAGATTGTATTGAATTCAATTTTCATGTACCATATCTGTGGCCGCTGGCCTCCTAGGCCAGCAAGTCTATTCCACGAAAGTTTTACAGCACTCCCCATAGATTATTATATTCTAAGCTAACTACTTGCAGAATCCTGTCAGTGTGCATTGTACGTATAACTTAATTAATGAATCGCAGAATATATGTGAGATTAAAACAAGTCAATTACTGTATTTACAATAATAACCAAACCGAGTTTCCAATTCATGTCAGCTTGCGTTTTCCATCGTGATGGCAGACATCCCGAAATAAAGAGCCAGATCTTGGACAATATTGAGTAAAATGGTCACTCCTTTGAACATTTTTGCAGTTTCGCGGGGTGAGTTGCTTATTTCCTGCAAAAACCTACAAGCATTTCAAAGTTCTTACCATAAGGATGGAGATTACTAATATTGTCTCCATTATTTTCTTGAACATCGCGGTAGAAGTTAAATTCTAAAATTGCAACTCCTTACAACGAACTAATTCTGGTGAAGATACGAATTGGGAGAATGTCATGAACGCATACAAATTTTATGCGATTGAGCAACATTCTGGCAAGCAATAATTGTTGCTACAACACAACTTCATACCTCGACTTGAATGAAGTGTAAGAAATCTACCTCGCTATATGTTTAAAGTCGTGACTTGTCGTAGCATCATTCAAGAAATTCAATGTTTATCAGTGCCATAGCAATTGATGTCTCAAAGCTAGCAATCATTTTCTTCATTACGTCCTCTGATTAGATTTTTGTTTTCAATTGAGGAAGGGGAAGTACCTTTTCAAATTCACCCGAAAATTTATTGAAAGAGAGAAGTCAAAGAAATTAATTTGACATTCAATTCTGATTCAAATTTTATTTCTTTTAGATGGAAATCGGTGCACAGGCAATCAAACATATTACAAAAGTGGTTCTTGAAACCATCCTATAATTATCCACCTTCTTTTTACATCTCATTGAATAATATGTAACAAATAACTTCATACTCATAGTTTGCAATAAATTAACAGATTCTTTTCATACTACATACATTATAACGAAATTATGTAACCTGACCATCAACCGTTCACATTCCAGCTACAACTATCAACGATCGAACAGAAGGACAAACTCAGACAGGTTGGCACGAAAATAATTTCAGAATTGTCAGATTAAATTCAATTTCAAGAAGACGCTTCAGTTTGAATAGGATGGTAAAATTCACCATATTATGAATGAAACATAATTCTACACAAGATGGATGCCAATGTATAATCCAACCAAGATTAGTAGTAGAGAATGAAATCGGTCTGAGGTATGAATGATGTGATGGCACCTTCTGCCACTAACTCAATCTTGCGCAGCAACAATCATCGATTTATATAGGGCAAGATTCTGTCAGAGAACTGACATATGATACAAAATACTTGGACCCCCAGCTGACATGAGGCTTGTGGCGCACAATAGATGACTTTTCAGAAGATTATTTGCATGGTAACAAACAAGAGAAACGTGGTACAAAGATGTATGCTGATGAGAAAATTATATCTAGGAGATATCATCCCCAGTGCGTCGACATCGCACGTTTCTAGAGAAGTGGCTCGAGCATCAATAAATAATCCAATGCTATTCATCCTCATTGATGTTCAGTTAATATTGCTGACAAATATTGAACATTTCAAATCGACTTTTAACAGAAAAATCAAGGAAGGGATTTCTAACGCTCTTTGTTGAGGCCGCTAAATTACTTGGACAAACGAAAGTTATTCTTCCGTCAACATTTTCAATGTTTCCTTCGAGTTTTGAGTTGGCCCATCTCGATGAAAAAGGATTGATTGTCTTGTTTCGTATTACTTTCTAGCCGATAAATGTATTTAAAACCCCCGACTATTGTGGATGCAATGAACTGCGACCTTCATTAGATATTAAAATGCTTTCGTCCGATGCTTTCGTACCCGTGCCGATGCATGTTGATCCAATACTTACGTACACGTGCTGCCTCAAGAAACTGACTCTTGAATGAGTGGAATGTACCTAAAAGCCACACAAAGCAGTCCATTCAAATGTGTGGAACGGACATAAAAGCCACACAAAATAGGCCATTTAAATGTGTCGAGCGGACGGGCAAGTTGCACAAAATTGACCATTTTAAAGTGTTCAACAGACAAGCAAGCCGCAAAAAAACGGGTCTTTAAAACGTGCGAAACCAATGTGTGAACCACACAAAACTAGCTGGATTTGATAAGTGTGGAACGAGCCTACAGGCCACACAAAACTTCTCCGAGCCACAAAAAATTTGCTCATTCATGACTACTACGTTTCATGCGTTCCTTTGCAATGTACATTGCTTCGTTCAAGGATATCGGATCACCCACTTGCTATAAACTACGTACGTCTGATTAGTGAGGAACTTGTGTATAATGTTTTTGTGGTGGTTTCTCCCTTTATTTTGGCACGTGTTGTCCATATTCCACTACTGACATTTTGTCCGACGCATCCCATACCTCTTCTACTGAACCTAGATATGTACCCTGATACCGAGTTCGTAAGATACGTCTCAGAGAGCCCGGCTCTCTAGCTCTTTTTATAACCACCATAGCAGTTACACCCTGATATTTCTTTAATGCTAAAAGCATAAAATTTGAAGACCTTCACACCCGTCCTTGCAACAGTGCACCACTTCCATGTCATTGTACGGGAGTGCTGACCGTGACCATAAACATTACGCAAACAAGAAATGCTTGCATTTCAATCTATACCAGTGCACATTCGCTCGCTAATTGCAGGTGAAAGAAAAAGTATCATTATCAAACATACAACCGATCAAGGAAAAAACTCAAAGAACTCAACACATACATTGAAATTGCCAAGCAGGCAAAAAAAAAAACAGGCGAAAATTATCAAGATGATCCAATGCAAAACTAATTACACTAGCCCATTAAACATTTTATACTTTTAAAATCCCGTGAGTCAATTTGCAACATTGGTGCTGCTTCTGCGATGAAAGTTACTATGAAACCACTAGTCTTGCCCCCGAACTCAACAAGCCAGTAAAAAACGAACCTCTTTTAAGCGACGGAGACTCCGCCTTAATTTCGGCAGCTCCACGCAAAATTCGGTTTAGTGACGAAGTTAAAAAGAAAACTTTCACACACAAGCTCTCAATGCAGGACAGTGATATGGCTCAAACATTTGGTTTAATCATCCGTGGCAAACTAATCTTAACCGACCTCGCAGCAACCCAATCCATCACGACATATACCACGCCACAGGCCGATCATAAAATCAGCTACATAGAAAATCAAAGCGTCTGCCTCAAAACACCCAAATCCAACATGACACTACAACGTTCAATAAAACTTCCTCAGCAACAAAATATAACAACGAATCCCTCCTCAAAAACAAAAGCCTGGAACAAAAAATATTCGCACAGAATACGCACGATCATTGGCCATATCGCAATCTGAAGCCACATTCCCTACAAACTGAATAATAATTCCCACTCCGATGTGTTGGCCATCACCGTTTACAGCCACCAAGAATCGATCAATTTAGGAAATACCTATTAGTCCCTCTTAGCATTCGCTAAATAAAAATTATGGATATTCACCCTCTCATTTTCAAATTCCTGAAATGCCTCATCTTGTAGTATTTTCAGCTAATTTTAAACTTTGTAATAATTTGTTTTCAATTTTTTCGAACGAAACAGGAAGCTTCAAGCTGATGCTCAATGGTAAAGTTTGTCGGGTTTCCGAGTACACATCAGCCAGACGGACCCAACCGAGCTAGAGCCGACTGAGCTAAAATTTGTGGAAAAAAATACTTTTCACGTCAAAAATGGTGCTTAATTTAAAAACTCTCCTCCTATGTTGATTATCATATGGCTGGGTAATTTTCGAGGAAAATTTTGCATTGCATGTTATGACCACATAAGTTAGTTAGATGTGCGATTCTGGTTGCAAATCGCATGTTAATCGCTTGTCGTCAACTATACTCACTGGAACCACATCTACAGAACTAACCACGTCACTGAGCCTATACTTTAAAAAAAAAATTAAGAGATCGTAAGTTCATCAGCTAATCATTGACGGCCTTTCAAGCAAAATCCACCAATCATAGACAAGAAAATAGAGCGTAAGTACTAACGTTCACTTAGCGAGCTTTGAAAGTATCCACCAATCATAGACAAGAAAATAGAGCGTAAGTACTTACGTTCACTTAGCGAGTTTTGAAAGTATGGCCCAGGAATATCAACATCACCGAATCTCGATACCCACCCCGAATCATCACGAATCCTATCAACTTTGCCTAATAAATTTTGGCACAGAAAAACTAAATCCAGTTGATTGTAAATGAAATGAATGTCAAAAATATGCTTGGATTACAAGAAAGAAACACTATAATATTAAAAAGTAATTAATATTTGTATATTTCATGTACGGTTTCTATGAGAACACAGACGGAGACCATGTTAGCAGCATGGTGGAAGTTAATTGAATTCAGAGAGCATTTTTGGACGCCCGAGGGGGCTTCAAAAGAAATTATTTTACTCATAATAGATTAAATAATTTCGGTTTGTTTAGTTTAATTTGTTGAAAGATACTTTTATTTTCCCAAGTTTTTTATCCATTTCAGCATTTATCAGTGAATAAACTTTCTATTCTATTTGTAGAAAATACTTTAAAGCAGAAAACTTTTTGTCCATAAGAGATAATTACCTGAGGAGTTGACTGCATGCGACCCCACCTTGTCTCCTGATATGGCCGTTATCAGCACTCATCTTCTCCTGATATCAGTACTGAACAAGAGGATATGCAGTCATCTTATACGGCACGCCGGCTCATTTTTATCTGCACGTGTGCTGAGTAAGAAAATAATTGGCAGGAAATTCTCAGCACTAAATAAAAAAAACGATGTAATTTGCGCATGAACTTTTGTCTCTACATGAACAAGGAAAAAAAATATCTTGTCACGTACTTAAAAAAATAAAAATATTTAATCACGTTCGTTGAATCAGAATAAGAACATCTATTTATAGATAAACGTAGAAAAACTAGCACGAATTCGTGTCACGGACAAACTAAAATTCACGAAGTTGATGAAGATTTCTGTGAATTTCAGTTCTGTGATTTCTGTGAATTTCAGTTACTGCTGTACGTAACTTCTGCTCATATGCCACTGAATAATTGAATCAACGTGTCCAAAAATATCATCTACGTCATTGACAAAATAATTCAGATCCACTGTAATTAATTTCATTCAATCTTACATTCTAATAAATTACTAGAAAGTTTATTTTCATGTATTTTTCTTATAACTGAAATTTTATCAAGCTAGAAACGTTTATATGAACATTTCTACTTGACGGTTTTTACAAGCGAACGAAATATAATTAAGATTAAACTAATGATGTATCAAGGGCCATAAACCGAATACAATATTCCCTCTATCATTTAAGGTGTCAATACGAAATTGATGATCAGACGAGCAAGGTAAGTTATTTATTAAACGACTCATTCATGATACCCATACA